ATAATAAATATTTAAAAACAAATAAATTACAGTGTATTTGGGACATAAAAAGGTAAGTTTTCACCAAATTTCGTGGAAAAAAAATTTTTTTTTTTTGAAAAAGATAAAAATAAAAAACCAAAATTTGGTTTTTTGAATTTTTCACATAAATTTTGAAAATATTGTAAATACAAAAGTTGTAGATCTTTTTATTACCTACAACTTTGACATTTAACTTTTTTTCATAGGACTTGTAGTTTTGCCGGAAATCGAGATAAACCATTTTTTACCCTTAAACCCCCCCCCCCTCCCACTTCCCGAACTCAGATCGCCCGTAATTTATTTTTCCTTTAATTTTTATTATAGTCCCCTCCTTTTCCAATGGGTTTCATCCTACTGTTATTTTTTTTCTCTTTTTACCATTTTTAAAGGCTTCTGCACTGGTCTAATTGCAAAACAATAGTATTTATTAAAAAAGTCTTTTTATAGCAATAAAATATTTTTGTTATTGTTCTTAACGTAAGCTATTAACAAAGATTTTGTAACTGTAATAAAATTTGTTTGAATTACAACGATATTAATTTAAAAAAGACAAATATGCCATAGGAAAATGAACAAATTTTACTATAACAACTGCGCATTACTTTATGTAAACATTTTAAGTTCGATTTAATATAAACATAAAGTATTTCTTATTGCCATGACAATATGATAACAACTATTACTTTGTTGGATGAACATTTTCTTATAAAAGCTCAACATTGCTGCTTCATTATAGTAAATGAGAATTTTATTAACAGTAAAAAAAAGTTTTTTCTGTAAATAAAAATAATCTCATTACTTTGACAAATCGTACATCTCAATTAATAATTAATTTAATTTCTGGATTCGATCAATAACCAAGTTATTAACAAGGTCGTTCCGTAAACAACTTAAAATTTTCAATAAGACAGCCAGTTCTAGTTTCTTGTTATATATGAATAAATGTATAAATTAACATATTTCTACATATACATACCTACATACCAAAATGACAAATACATACATACATACTACATTATTTTCCAGGATATAATTTAACATAAATTTTAAATTTTTACATAAATGTAATTTTCCACTAAAATTTTGTTCATTCAAGTAATTGAATTGAAAATCGAATAAAATCCTCATATATTTCGAATTACCTTCAAAAGGCTTTTAAATTTGACTTTTTTTACCCGGTGGATAGGTTTTTAAATAGCAAATTAATGAACTTAAACTTTTGAATTATAAAACAGCAACACTCTCATCTGCATATAAATTCTAACTGACCTTCAGGAATCACATGCATCTATAATGTCGTAAACAGAGGTTTTTGCTTATTTAAAATGATTAAATCCGTTGCATAAAATTTAAAGCAAAAACAGATTCACGGAGGATAGAATCAATTTTTGTATTACCTACTAGGAATCTTGAGTCATCCAATACAAATATTATTTTGTTTTAATGTAAAAAAGCTCACCTATATTTAATATTATTTAATTAAATTTTGAAGGACGAATTCAATAACCCACATATTAGTGATTGGAATCTCTATAAAGATGTTGCACAATTTTACATTCTTTGTGTGGCCACACTAACAACACCTGTCTTTTTTTACTATTCCATCTTACGTCATATGATGGAATCTTTTAGCATAAAAATTAAAATCTTTGTCTTTAAAACCTTGAAGATTCTTATGCATTTTTTGCATAATTATCTATTGGAATCTGACATTGAAGTTTCTTTTATAGATAGAATATTATTGTTTGGAAAAGTAATAAATATTCAGTCACGTGTTGGGTAAAACAAATTTTAAATTATGTTTACAGTAGAAATTTTACTGGCAATAAAAAGAAAGCTGGAATCATATATTCATTGAAAAATATTAGATTTTAATTTAAACAAATTAACTTTATCATCTAGCATCTATAATTACAAGCTCTTTCAAGGTTTTTTATATTATGCCTATCATTTGTTTTTTATTATTTATCCATACTCAGAAATGAAGAACTATCTATTTTTGCTCAAGGATCTTTGCTGATAAACAATTTACAAAATAAAATGCATCTTTATTTCATGGTAAAAATTTATTAGCTATACGAGGTGTTCAGAAAATATCGGGAATTTTCGTTTTTTGAAACAAATATTTATTTATTCGTCTACATTAATGTTGTCGCCTTCAAAATAGTCCCCATTGGATATTATGCACATGTGCCAGCTCTTCTTCCAATACTCGAAACACATCTAAAACTCGATCTTTGGGATAGCCTTCAGTTCTTTCAGCGATGCGCTTTTATTGTCATCTATGCTTGCAAAACGACGGCCCTTTAAGGTTCTCTTTATTTTTGGGAATAGGAGGCATGTCTGGCGAATATGGAGGCTGGGGCATCATTACAGTATTGTTTTTGGTCAAAAATTTTGTTCAAAATTTAACAATTTTGGAACAAATTTTGCTGCCACGCGTTTCATACCCAAAACATTCGAAAAAATTTCATGGGATGAGCCAATCGATATACCAACATCATCAGCGACTTCTCTGATGGTTTATAACCATTTCTTCCACTTTTTCCATGTTTTTATCGGTTGTTAATGTGCTTGTGCGTTCGGGGCGTTCGTCATCTTCAACGTCTTCACGGCCATCTTGGAAACCCTTATACCACTTGTAAACTCTTGTTTTACTTATAGCAGACTCACTATAGGCCTTTGATAACATTTCACAGAATTTATTTAATTTTTTAAGCAAAATTGGATACAAATTCTTTGATCCATTTCTTTTAACGAACGAATAATCGCCGAGCTCATAAAACACGTCCAACCTTAGCGGCTGCCACAGACAAAGTAAACCATGAAAACAGCTAAAGTTTTTATCATACTTCGGGGGCATGTATACCAACATAATAAAGAAAATTTTATGACAACTGGACCCTCCGAACCCGCGAAATTTAACAATTCCCGTTATTTTCTGAACACACCTCGTACATAAGTTGTTTGTTTTCTTATAAAACACGGATGTGGTATGTTAAATTATTAATATTTTAAAACATATAAGGTCTGTAAAATAAGAAATGGGTAGATACATTTTTTATTTTTGTATACCTACAAAAACAAAATTTGTTATTAAAAAGTTTAAACGTTTTATAAATTAAATCATTTCATGTATAAATATTCAGGGGGCGTACCTTTATATCGTAGTTATTTAAAAACCTAGTTACCATTGAGAAACAGTGCTCCAGTTCGTCGCAACATCTGCGTAGGCTCTCGTTTCACTTTTGTTTCATAATGACATAAGTCTCGGTATTTATCGGTTTTTTAATATGCATATCGAATGTGTAGCAGTTTTATATTAAACACATGAATATTAAAATGTTTGTGGGTTTTTATTTTGTATGTTGTGCAGGTGGCCTTGTCCTTGCTAACTCTATTACAACTGGTGCACTCAAACACATGTGAGTCATTACCAATGACAACCTATTTAACTTAAAGTTTTTTGAAATTTTGTCCCACTATTTTTTATATTTGTACTACTGTGCTTATTAGAATTATTACCTATGTGATATTTTTTAATTTTTGTCATATTTTATGACCAACCAAAATTAAATTTAGAAACTTTTCAAGCTATTTTATCTTATGACCGTGTTTCAGAAATTTCGTAACACATATAGGTGTTAAAAATACCTAGACGACTTTTAATGTTCAAATCTTTCAATTGCGTCCCACTAATAATCGCACTATGGTAACAGAAAATACCTTAATTTAATAATATTTTTTATTAAATTTAAAAAAATTAACAAAATAATTAATTTAAAAAAAATAATAATAATAATCTTTTAAAAGTTTAGTTTTATCCCATTGTGTGTCAATTACACGTTCCCCTTTTAGATACCTACTTGGTATGTTGTAGTAAACACAATGTACCGGTATTCTTCATTTGTTTCTTAGTAGTGCCTCTAGCCTTGTTGGCGACGTAAAGTAGCTTGTAAATTTTTATGTATTTGAGTGTCAGTGGCTATATTATTTACAAAGTAAGAACTTCATCTAAATATATATTTTAGAATAGTTTTTTAGTTAAAATTTTTTTTAAAACCTAATATTTTTTTTTAATTTGGGTATTTAACACGTTAATTTATTTATAGGATATTTTAACTTTTGGATTAAATTGTGAATTCATAGATAATTTAGTGTAGAGAAATATATATGTTGTTCTATTTTTAGTTTTGACGAGCGAAATATTGAGGTTATTGCAAACATCAGAAAACGTTAATTTTTTAATAGATTAAAGTGCATTTCCTTAAAATTTAAAATTCACTATTTATCTACAAACGCTGCTTTCAGTAATAGCATTCGCATTAATTATAAAGTAAATTTGCGTTATGTTTATAAATATAACACTCTTTCAGATGCAGAAACGCATTGATTAATATAGTTATTATTATTTGTCCAAAAAACAGTTCTATACCGTTTACAAAAACGGTTTGTAGTATTAATGAAACCCTAATGGTTTTATTCGTAGAAATTTTGCTACCATTGCAAAACAATAGTGAATATTAACAAAGTCTTTTTATAGCGATAAAATATTTTTGTTATTGTTCTTAACAAAGATTTTCTAACTGAAATAAAATTAATTTGAATTACAACGATAGTAATTTAAAAAAGACAAATATGCCATAGTAAAATGAACAAATTTTACTATAACATTTGCGCATTACTTTATGTAAGCGCAATTCACACAACTATAGATTTAACAAAAACATAAAGTATTTCTTATTGCCATGCCAATATGATAACAACTATTACTTTGTTGGATGAACATTTTTTTTATAAAAGCTCAACATTGCTGCTTCATTATAGTAAATGAGAATGTGAATTAAAAAGTGGCAGTGACATTTCTTTATGCAGAATTTTTTCATGTTATTTCTCATAGCTACTAATGTCCTGTATTGGTTTGGAAACTTTAAAAATTGTATTTCTAGAATATAATTTTTATTTTTTTTTATTTTCAGGTACTATTATAGCCATGAAGCGAGAAGCTGACGGTGACATGGGCTCCCCACAGAAACGTACAAGAAGAGGAGATGAAGAAGTCCGTTTGCTTATACCTAGTAAGGTGAGTAACAAAACACGAAAATCGATAAATAACACAGAACACAAAAAAAGTACGGTAAAGGGTAAACCACATCGTTATTAGACACTTAAGGAATATTATTTGTTTAAAATTTATATATATATGTATAATATATAAAAAGAATAGTTTGTTAGTTTAAACTTTATTTACGTTTACTTAAAAATAAGAATATTTGAATTTTTAATAATATTTTTATAAAAACACGCAAAAAAGTATAGTAATTGGACATTTTATATAGTAATTGGACACATGGACCATAGTTATTGGACATACAATTTTTATATAAACATAACAACTTAACATCAAAAAACATAAATTGTTAAATATTTTTTAAAGATAAATTGCTGTTTTAGGTAATTTTTTTATTTCGTTTTTGTAAATACTCTCAAAAAATAAATAGCGAAAAAGCAGCCACTAATTATTCTCGTCAACAGCAGTTTGTATCTATTTAGCAGTCAATTCCTATGAAATATTATTCGCTGAATCCGAAAATGTCGTCAAAAGTTATAAAAGTAAAACAGTTTTTGAAATATAATCAATTTTACATATAATATGGAATTGACTATATCTCAAAAAATGCTTAACTTTTATAGTTTTTGACGGTCTTTTCGGATTCAGGGGACAATTTTACATAAGAATTGGCTGGTAAATACAAATAGAGTATGATATTGGACATATGTCCAATAATAGAAATTTACATTTTTTACCAACCAGTAATTGGACACTGGCCATTTTACTGTTTGTTTTCAGAATTAAAATTAAAACGCATTTAAGTGACAATGTTTAAACCATGACGAACACATTTAGACCACACACTGATCTGTACACTTTTTAGAAATATTTTTTGTTGTAATTTAAACACAGCCTTGCTCTTAACAAAAAAACAAAAATCTTACCACCAAAGTAACGTGCGAACTTTTTTGTCTTTATTGGACCCATCTAATGATTTGACTATTTATAGAACTCTTGTTTTTACAGTATTAATGTTAATTGTCCAATAACTGTCTACTTTACCCTAGTGCACATTTCCTGCTAAGCAATGTTGCCGATATACCTCCAGTTAATTACATCCCACCTGTGGATTAATTGCAACGCTGGCGGTGGGAAAACTTAATCTTTCCCTGGGGAGACGTTGGTATATTGAAAAATGTTGCTCCCGTTAATTTTAATAATTTAATTTCGTTACATTACCTACACATTATACCAGATTTTATAAGACGTTGTTTTAATAATGCTTTTAAATTTAATTGACGTTCATTCCATTCAAATTTTAATACAGTTTTTGTAGATTCATACATCCTATTGTAGAAATCGAAATTTGCATAAATGAATTTCATTATCGTACGATATTTTCCACGTCTCTGATTCTCTAGCAGTAAGTTCCCATAGAACGAAAAATATAAAAAGGAGTCTTTCATAACTTGCCTAACAAAATTACGGCTAATGAAAGTGTGAATGGACATCTTAAAATATTAAATTTAATTGTTTGTTTATCATGAGTAATACCCAAAGAATTTATTTATTATTTCGTTATTTTACCTACATAATAACATTTTTGATCTACTGAGAGAATAACGTAATAAAAACAATATAAATACCACAAATTTACGTAAAAATAACGGTATAATTACTAACTGTGTGCTCTCTCTTTCTAAACATTGACATTCGTAATTTCTTTGTTCTTTTAATTCATATTTTACAAAATAGTATTCACAAAGTAATAAAGGCCACCCTAGAGTAAAATTAAAAAATGTAACTTAAATTGTCAAAACTAATAATATTTTGCATTAAAACTCAAACGCACATTATTTTATTGATAAAAATAGGCACGATAAATCTTAAAAATTATATGCCCTCTAAATATTTTACGGTTTTAAGAAAAATTATTGCTTGGGTAAAAATTCAACAAAACTTAAAACCTACAAAATTTTATAAAATCTTTTAAAAATCATTTAGTTTTTATCATTTTTTAATAACCAAAACTTTCCTTATTATATTTTAGAAAAATATTATATAAATGTTGTTTATTCAATATTAATATTATTTCTTACCACTAATAACCCTAAAAAATACCATGCGAATAGGAATTATTTACTATTATAAAGTGGTCTTAATATCGTAAAATTATGACTTATGAGTAACATTTACCATTAAGTAAAAATTCTGACGTTAAATTTTCCTTTAGATGAAATACACTTATAAGTAATTTTCTTTCGTAAAAATTACGTCCCTCGTAATACTTTAAAGTGTTGAAACTTAGGGGTTATTAAAATAGGTAAAAATAACATAAATAACTTTAAAAAAAGTTTTACTTCATAGTAAATTTTTAAGGTTAATTTAAGCCTACCCTAAGAGCCGCCACTGGAAAAGGGAAACGCAGACTATGATAACATCACGAACTGAACAAAGCGCATATTTTCTCACGACTCGTCTTTCAACGTTTTTTATCGAAATCGAGAGAAATGCCTCGGGAACTTTTTAGTTTGTCTGATAAAAGTGATAAAATTTTTGTTAGTTAAGCTGTTTTCGAAGGCACTTTAAATAAATTAAATGTAGAATTTGTGCTAAAAAAATACAATTTTGTTGATTTTTTTTGAGTATGTAATGTAATGTAATTATAATTTTATTGAAACAAAATATACAGCATCCATGAGTGTATGTTTTAATGTCTAAAAGTCGTAAAATTGTGGATCCTACGGACATTGCCCTGTAACACCTTTAAAAAAAATATTTAATTTTTTCAGGTTGCTGGTTCCATAATTGGTAAGGGAGGACAAAATATAACGAAGTTACGTAGTCAGGTCAGTATTCACCAACTTTTTATTTATTTACAATTAAAATTATAATTTTCTTTCATTAAAAGGTGTTTTTATCGAGTTAATCTTTTTTCCAAATTTCACAAAACTAAATACGCTTTTTTACTATGCCGGTAACATTATAACAACGACAGCATAATAATTTATATTTCGGCATTGTTTCTAACCCCCAAAAATTAAACCGACTGGTGGCTTTTGGTGAGAACAACGCCCTCTAGTGGTGGTTCCAACGCTACTCTCCAAAGTTACTGTTACGTTAAAATGTTACTTTTTTTGTTATTACCACCCAATTTGACAGGTAGTGGTCAATCACGTCATTGACGACAATTTTTAAAATCTCGTTACATAAATGTCCGAATAATCGCCAAACAATACCAACCAAAAAAAAAAAGAGGAGAAAATTCCTAACTTTAATTGTCTTCTGTCCCCTGTGCCATGTTGCCGTGCCACTGTCCACCAACCACCTGTTGTCGATCTGCCCGCCATTTTGCAATGTTGCCAAAATGCCCAACTGCCCGCCCGCCCAACAAACAACATGATCAACAACAAACCAACAACCAACAACAACAGTACAAAGCCTCCATAACTGTCCCTGATTGCCCGGGCCCTGAACGGTAAAATTTTTACAAATCTCATCTTTCAAAATATTTTAATTATTTTATTGTTAATGTTAAATATTTAGCTGTGCTCACCCGGCCCTGGTTGCACTGTAAAACACTCACTAAACACTAAAAAATCTTATGCCAAAAATTACAATTATTATTGGTGTATTTCTTATTTTATATCACGAAATTTAAATATGTGATTATGTCAGGACATGCGCAATACGGTTTTACTATTGCGCATGTCCCTGACCACAATATTGACAGTCCAAAACATTTTTTTAAGAGATTCTTATCGAACAAAATCATCAAACATTCACAATCACCTTTAAATTTCGTGTTGTATACTTTTACTTTACTAAAAATGTTTCATATATTTATTAAATAGCACATAATCAATACAGGGTGTTTGCCAATTACATCCAAAAATTTTAAGGAGTGATTCCACAGGGTAAAATACACTCACAGGCAAAATAATCGATCCACACAAATTTTCGATGAATTTCAATCGCAAACAACTTTTTTATTTGATGTCGGATTTAAACAAATATTAAAGAATATTGTAGATACATTAATGGAGAATCACTCACATTTTAAAAATTACTAAAAAATATACGTACGTTTATAATATACAGATTTAAACAAAAATATGTTTTTTACCATAAGTTTAAGACACTCTGTAGAGTGGCAAAACCGTATATTGTTCTAAATTAAGTTTTATTTATCAAGTCACATCTATTCTTAACAGATTTGTTTTTGGTTCACCTCGATTTATTTATTTTTGTGGAAAATATGGATTTTTTAAAAAAACATTGCAATTTCCAATATTTTTCTGTATGAAGAACTAAGGTTGCTATAGGCTATGGAGAATGACAGTGACAGTTTTGTTGAATCATCCCATACTTTGACATGTCATACACGGCTATCAAATTGTTTTTTGCAAATTAATGTTTAAATTTTGAGGTGTCTTCTTACTTTAAAAAATGGATACGTCTCCGACTGATGTTGTCAGAGCCATTAATTTAATCCAGGATGGACGGTCACAGTATTACCTACGTGGCAAGTGTTTTAAACGTCACAAGAAGTAAAGTACAAAGGGCAACATCAGTCGGAGACATTTTTAAAAGTAAGAAGACACCTCAAAATTAACACATTAATTTACAAAAAACAATTTTATACCTTTTGAAAGCTGTATATGACATGTCCAAGTATGGGATGATTCAACAAAACTGTCACTGTCATCCTCCATAGGCTATGGATGGACCATAGCAACCTTAGTTCTTCATACAGGAAAAATATTGGAAATTGCAATGTTTTTTTAAAAAAATCCATATTTTCCACAAAAATAAATATATCAAGGTAAACCAAAAACAAAACTGTTAAAAATAGATGTGACTTGATAATTAAAAGTTAATTTAGAACAATATACGGTTTTGCCACTCTACAGTGTGTCTTAAACTTATGGTAAAAAACATATTTTTGTTTAAACCTGTATATTATAAACGTACGTATATTTTTTAGTAATTTTTAAAATGTAGAATTTTTTTGGATTAAATTCAGAAACACCCTGTATAAATATTAAGCATGATGTGGTGTTTACTAACAGATTTTATTAAATGTACTTTCTGAAAACTGCAATTATATATATACAGGGTGTCACCTAATAATTTGGTGACAACCTGTATTGTCTTCTAATTAAAAAAAATACAGACAGCCGTAGGTGGTGCAACCAGTGAAGCCAGGTTTGTCCGCTAGGTGGCCGATTTTTTATAGCAAGGTCCCCCCTAACCAAAAGCGAAATAAATTTAAAACAAGAGACGCTTTGCCTTAGGTAAAGGCCTTTCACCTATTTGTTTGTTTAATGTCTTTTTTGCAGGTCTAAACCCATAGTAAAAAAATCCCATATTCATAACCCATTTTGCGTAGCTTTGTTGTCCCGCAGAAGTTCCGCAAAAGCTTAAAAAGGAAAATAAAAGCAAAGGTGGCAAAGATTCGGTCCGAACCCAATTTACGTTCCTCTCTATCTATCTTTCTAACACCCTATTTGCTCAAGCCCACCCCTTAGCGATACGATCCCTGCGGCACGCCGCATTCAAGAAAACTGACCGAAATTTGTTTGCAGCATGCTGACACTCTCCTCCGACTTGGAAACCGTCTGCAGCATCATCAACGACGTCGTTCCCAACCTAGAAGAGGTAAGTTAAAAAAATTTAGCATATTTAGCAAAATGTCGGTAGTAAATTAATGCGGAACTTCCGCATCAAAATTTATGCGGAACTTCCGCATTAAAACGTAACCCACTGTGCGGTCGTGTCGGTCGTTTTTTCCGCGATAAACTTCAATCCTGAAACCTCCGTTAAGAAGCAGCGGAAGTATCATAAGAGAAGCAGAAGCAGAAAAAGATGTCAATAGTAAATTGTTACGGATGTGGATGTGGAAGTAGATAAACTATAAAAAAATCAATTTATATTTAATAAACCTAATTTTTTATAAAAACTAGATGCGGAACTTCCGCAGTTGCGTTTGAAATGTTTAAAAAAAAAAGAATTAAAATGATATACATACACCCACATTGCGGAACAATTAGGAAAATGTCAAAAGTAAATTAATGCGGAACTTCCGCATTAAAATTTATCTCACTTTGCGGAACATTTATCATATTATTTTATTTTTTCGTCTCGTGTTGGTCGTTTTTTTCTTGCTAAACTTTAATCCTGAAACCTCCGTTAAGAAGCAGCGGAAGTATCATAAGAGAAGCAAATTGTTGCGGATGTGATACATAGACTATAAAAAATGCAATTTATATTTAATAAACTTCATTTTTTATAAAAACCAGATGCGGAACTTCCGCAGTTGCGTTTTAAACGTTTAAAAAAAAAGAATTAAAATGCAGATGCAGATGATCAAAGATTGTAACGCATTTGTCAGTTGTTTTTCTCATTATATGTTGTATGCGTGCTTTGAATTGAGTCACGAACTGTATTGTGGTTGGTTCTATACATTTTACAAGTTTCGTTATTGAATTTTAAATCGTCTTGGTGTTTGCGAGTAACGCAAACTAAAGTTGCGGAACTTTTATAATTTTAACTTAGAGTTTGACTTTGAAGAACCGCCAAAGGGCAGCATTTTTTATTCATCTGGCATTTCAAAATGCAATATTTGTAAATATTTTAGTTTAGTTAGACTGAAATGATTTGACACGATCAATAAATAAATCTCCAGACGTTATAATTTTAAATTTATCGGAGGTATTTTGCACGCGATACTACACTATAACTGTTTTGAATACAAAAGAAAATAAGGTTTTTATAATTTCACCATTAATTTAATTATTTTGCCTACTAATTATTTTTTTTACTTTCCATTATTTAATTAATACTCGAGGGACTGAATATTTGTAATTTTATAATTACGCCCAGTCTGTTATTAGCTTGTTCGTTAAAAGTTACAGCACAGGGTTGCTTTAATTGAAATGTTATTTGCCTTTACAGAATGGAGCAAGAGTGAGCAATGGAAACGAATTGGATCTACGTATGATGATACATCAGAGTCAAGCTGGCTGCGTCATCGGAAAAGCTGGTCACAAAATCAAGGAAATTCGCGAGGTAAGTCATTTATAAATTTTCCTTGGTTTTTCAGTAGATCATTCACACTTGTTTGATGAAGGTCCCCTGCTCTTTCTATTCAATTAATCCACAGACAAACACCGGAAATTGTCTTTTCGAATTATTCGTAATCTCTTTAGCAAAAAGTCTAATAAAAAATGTATGTCGATAATACCCATCACTTTAAAAATTTCCCGAATGACGATATCAATCTTCTTATATTTATCAGACATCTGATCCCCCATTTTTTCGTCATATAATACCTTCTCAAATGTAATAAGACGTCGATTCATCAATAGGAATTTTTATTCCTCTTCCTTCCTTCCCATCTAATTGATTGATTTCGTTCGAATTTCTTTTTAGATTATGCTGTTTTTAACGTAAAGAAACAATTCCCATTTCTTGGTTAATATGATGCTTTGAATATGCAACATTTGTAATAAAAATTGTTTTATTTTTACGCTGATTCTTGCAGGAAACCCCCAAGTCATATTGCGCATGCCTCTGTCAGTTTTAAACGGTATTAAACCTTCAGACGCCTGCGCAATAGGATTTTAGCAAGAATAGACGTCAAACTTTTTTGGTTATTCTAATCTAGAAAATAAAGAAGTAAATCAGGAACAAACCTTGAAATATTATTATTACTATAATATATATAAATATGTATTCAGGGGTAATGGAAAAATACGTGGGAATGTTGTAAAATCAATACCCCATGGTAATATCAATATTATCTAATGTTGAGATGAAATATGCTGATAATTTTAATTTTAATGGACTATTTTGTATGTCAAAATGACATATTGTAATCAAAATGTCTTCGCAAGCAATTTTTTATTCCATCTGACCCTATTCGCTTTTTACCAGCAGCGCTACTCAAGAACGACAATCCGACAACAAATCAATAACGGGCTGCAAGCGCCTGCCTAACGCGATGTTGCCAAATTTACGCGTTATCCCCTAAAAAAATATAAACCGCGCTCCATAAATAAATCCTGGAATACGGCGAAACGAAAGTGAATTTCGTACGTTTTAATGTAACCCCGATGGCGGTTTTTTTAGAATCGACACCCCACACGACGTGCTTTACTCGCGTGCCGATTTGGCAACGCCGCGAGCTTCGAGCGCGGCCGTTGCCAGTTCAGCTGCGGTCGCAGAGCCGTCGCGATGGTGGCACATCGCGATCATCAAATTTTGTTTCGCACGTTTTTTTATGTTCAGTTTAGTTTATCGATTATCGATTGATTTTTTCTTAGTTTGTGGTTGTGTAACCACTAAGTCAATGTGAACAAGTGGCCGAATTCGGTTGAGCCTTACTGTTTGATTTTAACATGTCCGCGAACAAAGGATATCAGAGGATAATTAACTAAGTAAAACTTTTTTTAGTATTTTATCGCATAATTTTAATAATAGTTCTGTAACAACTAATTACTGCTACAAAATTCTGTAGACTATATTTTATAATCCACAAGTTTCATAATTAACAAAACTTTGTTCGAGATTTATGGTACTTTTCATTAATAACATAAAGTTTAAGCGAAGTTTTTTTGCGTAATTTGTGTAATTCCTTCTAATTTGCTAGCAACGGCTTTATGGCGTTTTAGTCAAGTATTGAAGTTAGCAACAGGTTTTTAGTCACGGGCTGAAGTTAGTTGTAAGTTAGTTGACAGATTTCAAATGTCATACAATCGTTAAATTAAAGTGGCTTTCTCGTAAAATAATACCCAAATGTGAACATTATACGTTATTATTATTATTAAACGTTTTTACTGACCTTTGTCACTTTTTGTACATTGAATTTTTAATACTTTGTGATAATATTTTGCTAATATAGGTAGTAATAAAAAAATCAACGGATAGAATATTTTCTTAACATAATCGTATTTTGTTATTTTTAAAAGTTAAGTTATTTTATGGCTTTATATCAAAATTAACGCATAAGTAAAAAAATTCTAACTCTAAAACGCCTTTACTAATCTTTATGAAATTTTGTATAAAAATACTTCAACTTATATCTCAGTTGACGTGTTCGAGGGTTTTTCGAGAAAATATTTTTAAAGCCCTTTAATTTAATAATAAAAAAACGTTTGAAAAATAACTTTTAAGGAAATTTTTTTAAGTATTTACTTAAAAAAAATTCCTTAAAAGTTATTTTTCAAACGTTTTAAATAAAAAATATGCTGTTAAAGACCGTATTTTTTTTGGTATACCCTGAAAATTTTGTACAAATTAAACGAACAGTAACGAAAATTTTTTGATTATTTTGCTGACGACTTTGAAGCGCTGTATTTTCGTTACTGTTCGTTTGATTTGTACAAAATTTTCAGGGTATACTTACAAAAATACGGTATTTCACAGCATATTTTTTATTTACTTAAAAAAAAAATCCCTATAAAAGTATTTATTATTAAATAAAAGGGCTTTAAGGATATTTTCTCGAAAAATCCTTATTATGCATTAATTTTGACGCGCAGTGTATTTAAGTTTTGACACTGGAGACTTCATTATTCATTTAAACACGAAGTAAATTTCATTCACTTTTTTCTTTGGACTTTACTAACTTTAAGGAACTTTGAAACCGAAAACTTAAAACTCAATTTTCCCTAAAAGTAGTTTTGTTTGTTTACCAAATAGACGTCTATGTAGACGTCTGACTTTAAATTTAATTATGCTAACTTTTTAAAGGAAGCTGCGTTTTTTTATGAAATTTCGTTTAACAAACACTTTCAAGTTTGCGATGGTAATTTTATATATTTTTTTTTTAGAAAATTGGGGCCCGTATTAAAATATTTTCCAACACTGCACCGCGCAGTTCCGATCGCATTATCCAAATTATCGGTGAGCCCGATAAATGCATTGAGACCGTTAGGGAAGTCCTAACTCTCATCAAATCCGTAAGTACCGATTAATTAATTAATGGGGTAGTTAAATTTTTTCTGACCTATACTTTTTATGATTTTATTCAAGGCGTTTTGTAATATTAAACATTTCTGTGAAATCAGAATTTCAATTGAGTTTACCGTTTTCGAGATATTTACAAAAAATATAAATTTTTATGACGTCACAAACCTCGCCATGTTACCAACATTCTAAGATTTCTATTGGTTGAAAATTACCCTGTTGTCAAGTTGTCTTGTTAATGATTTCATTCGGTTATGTCAGAAAATACCCGAAGAGGTTATGTACAAATACTGGCACTGTCAGTTGAGTGAAAGATGGTCACCAAATTCATTCCTTATTACGAGGTATCATATTACTGTTTGATATTTTAGAGTCCAAGATATATCTAAAAGAATATAAAGAACTAGGCATTATACTAATGAAATGCATTTACGACAAAATATGATTATAATTATAGGTACTTACTTTATTTGTTTAAAAGCTCCAATGTTCAATGTAACCAACCATTCCACAAGATTCCTCTGCTTTGGAGTCCGTTATTAATAAATCACCTATCTAATATCAATTACAAATAACATTGATTTTCAATAATCTAAATTTAAAAAAAAACATAACCCGAAAAAAAGAAACGTCAAAAAATCAATTCTTCTTCTCAACTAAAATTATAGATCAAGTGGTTTTAAAACTAAAATATTATAACGTGGCGCCATCTATCGTAAGAATCTTAAACTAAACACACTGGCAACCATAGAAAAAGCTGGCAACGTTGTCAATAGCCTAGTGACGTAATTAGGAGATTTTTTTTTGTAAATATCTCGAAAACGGTAAACTCAATTGCAATTCCGATTTCACAGAAATGTTTAAAATTACGAAACGCCTTGAATAAAACCATAAACAGTATAGGTCAGAAAAAATTTAACTACCCCATTATAATTAATTATAATGAACTAATTAATTATCTAAAAAATTCCAGAGCCCCATTAAGGGCGTAGTCAACCCGTACGACCCCCATAACTACGATGACTTTTACGCGGAAGAGTACGGCGGCTGGGGCAGCTCTGGCGGCAGCGGCGGCGGCGGTGGGGGCGGCAGCGGGGGCGGCGGCGGAAATTCCGGCCGCAGGAGCGGCCCCGATGGCGGGGGCCCCCCGAATCGCAACGGTTTCAGGGACGGACCTCCAGCCTCGGCTGGAGGCGGCCGTTTCAACAGCAACCGCCAAGGACCGCCGCCCCCAAGAGGAAACTCTGGAGGGTATGTATTTTTTTATTTTTTATGTATTTAATTTTCTAGAAAAAAATTATAAAACCAAAGATTTTGAAAGTTTTGTAATATTAGGATTTTTTTTATATTTATGCAGTTTTATCATTTTATTTAACATTTCAATAGAGATGGGAATCGGAAAGTTTCCATTTTAAGGAAACTTTCCGTTTTGGAAAGTTTCCAATTGGGAATTTATTTTCATTTTGAAAGTTTCATTTAAGCTACCGGAAACATTCACTGGAAACATTCCTTGGAAACTTTCCTTGTTTTTTTTCATTTAAATGTCAATTGTTTAACCGCTGATTTTGGTTAAGGCCATGATACAAGGCCAAGAAACTTTGAATAAGAATTTAATGTGTGTTAATTTAAAGCAGAAGAAGAAGTATAAATAATGTAAGTTATATTACATAACCTCAATGAATAAAAAAAGGTAAACAAAATAAAAACAATAAACAAAGTTGGCACAATGCCAAGAAAAAAATCTAGTTTTGGAATTATTTTTTACTTTACTTTTTACTTTTCAATATTCCTATATATTAGTTACTTTGTGCCTTTTAATTTTTTTTACGTAATAGGATCTAGGATCTATAATAATAATAATAATAATATTTATTTCCAAAAGCGACAATTCACAAAATTGTATAGGAAAACGTCTAAAATATAATATAAAAAACATATAGAATTGTAAACATTTACATATTGTTAAAAAAACATATATTAGCATAACAGGATAAAATTGTAGTTATTGTTCAAAATATTCTTCAATAGAATAAAAACTTCTTTCTTTTAGATACGAGGATACAGCATTTTTAAATTTAGGAAAGTTATTTAATTTTATAATATTACTAGGTAACTTGTTATACAATTTTATCGCTGTTATTATTGGGCCTTTGTATACTTGCGTTAAATTGTGTGTGGGGACATAGAGTTTGTTTTTATTCCTTGTTTCGTATTTGTTTATATCACCGCACTTTTTAAAATCTTTAATATTAAGACGGACATACACTATACATTCTAGTATATAAATACATGGGATGGTTAAAATTTGATTACATTTAAAATAAGTTTTACAATGACTATTATAGGGTAAGTATAACATAGACCTTAAAATACGTTTTTGTGCTATGAAAATTCTATTACTAGAGGAGCTATTACCCCAACACAATATTCCATAAGAAAGAATCGATTGGACACTTCCATAATAAAAGGCCTTTAATGTGGGTAAATTTACCACTTCTCTTAATTGGGTCATGCAATAGTTTTTTGAAGATAGTTTATTAGCAAGATCACTTATATGCAGCTCCCAAGAAAGATTTTCATCAAAAGTTAACCCCAAAAACTTAACATTCGAACTTTGGCGTAGTGCACTACCATTACATTTTACCCAGATACTGTAGTTTATGGATTAGGAGTTACTAGCAATGAATTTCTAATAGTAAACATTTTATTTTTATTTTGTAGGTTTCAGTATACAATAGGAATATTCCAAAGTAAAAGATACTAAAAATAGTATTGCAGTTACATTCTTATAAACATTTTTTTTATTTTTTTCTTAATAAAATTTTACAAAAAATTAATGTGTTAAATATTTTTGCAAATCCCTGGCATAAAAAAAATATTTTCGCAATAAAAAAAAATTTTTTGAAACATTCGGAAAATTTCGGGAATTTTCGATGGAAAGTTTTTGGGAATTTTCGTGAAATGGGAATTTTCCCATCTCTACATTTCAATAACGAATTTTAAAAATCCCGCGGAAAAACAATAAAAACGACATAACCTCTGCACCTTCATGCTCTCCTGATATTTACTATTTTATAAAATATAAAAACAATATTTTGTAAAATAATTTATATATTTTCGCAAAAATACATTTTTAACTGTAAATATTGACATAAAGGTTTGAAATGCATTTTTTTGAAAAAATATAAATTATTTTACAAAATATTGTTATTATATTTTGCGAAAATATTTCAACTATTTTATAAAATATAAAAACAATATTTTGTAAAATAATTTATATATTTTTGCAAAAATACATTTTTAACTATAAATATTGACATAAAGGTTTGAAATGCATTTTTGTGAAAAAATATAAATTATTTTACAAAATATTGTTATTATATTTTGCGAAAATATTTAAACTATTTTATAAAATATAAAAACAATATTTTGTAAAATAATTTATATATTTTCGCAAAAATACATTTTTAACTATAAATATTGACATAAAGGTTTGAAATGCACTTTTGTGAAAAAATATAAATTATTTTACAAAATAGTGTAATTTTATTTTATAAAATAGTTTAAATATTTTCGCAAACATACATTTTTAACTATAAATATAATTTAAAAGATTAAAATGCATTTTTGTAAAAAATTATAAATTATTTTACAAAATATTGTTATTTTTTATAAAATAGTTTAAATATTTTCGCAAAAATACATTTTTAACTATAAATATAAAATATAAAAGTTTAAAATGCATTTTTGTGAAAATATATAAATTATTTTACAAAATATTGTTATTATATTTTATAAAATAGTTTAAATATATTCGCAAAAATACATTTTTAACTATAAAACTGATTTTATAAATATAACTGTTCTTAATCCGATTCAATTGGTAATTTTAGTGATTTTTTTGCTATTTTTATAAAAATGATTTTTTATTTCCCCTTCAAATAAAGATTTTAGACAAATTTTTATAAAAAAAAATTGTAGGTAATTTATTATATATTATTTTTGCATCAAAATTGTCTTTTATTAGGCTATATATTAAATAAAAAATAACCGCATGAAATATTTTATAAAAGTAGAAATAGTTAAAAAAAAACTCTAAAACGCCTTTACCAATTTTTATAAAACTTTGGATAAAAATACTTTAACTTATATCTCATTTTACGTGTTTAAGGGTTTTTCGAGAAAATATCCCTAAAGCCCTTTTATTTTAATAATTTTTAAGTGGTCATTTTTGACGACTTTGAAGCGCTGTATCTTCCTTACTGTTCGTTTGATTTGCACAAAATTTTCAGGGTATACTAACAAAAATACGGTCTTTAACAGCATATTTTTTATTTACTTAAAAAAAAATCCCTTAAAGGTATTTTTCGAACGTTTATTTTTGAACACGTAAACTGAGATATAAGTTGAAGTATTTTTATACAAAATTTCATATAGATTGTTTTTTTTTTTAATTTAATATGTAGCCTAATAAAAGAATAATATTTTTGAGAATTTTGATGCCAAAATATTATATAATAAATGATCCACAATTTTTTTTACAAAAACATGCGTTTTTTTTAGTTTTAACGATAGACAAGGCGGCGGCGGCGGGGGTGGTGGAATGCTGCCGAGAAACAATTTCGGCGGCGGCAGCAGCAGCGGAGGCGGCGGCGGCCTCGGCGGCGGCAGCAGGATGAACGGAAACTCCAACAGCTACGAAAGAAACGTGTGGAACACCGGGCCTAGCAACAACAACGGCGGCAACTACAATCAGCCGCCCCCGATGATGAACCAAGGGGGCGGCGGGGCGCCGCCTTCGCTGGCCAGCGGCGGAGCCATCAACAAAGCCGGACCCGGCGGAAAGAACACCACCCAAGTGACAATACCCAAAGATGTAAGTACTAGTACAGTATAGATTAGGGTGATTCATTTCCGCAAAGTTTTTGTTTTCTTCGGTGCTCAAGCAAAATATTAATCTGCATATAGGAAAAAACATTCTCACCAAGTTTGAGCTCTTAATATTAATTTTAAGCACTTACTATTTAAATTTAAAGTTTTACCGTTTAAAATGCATGTAAAAAATTAATTTTTTTTTCAAATTTCTAATGCTTACCCACCTTTGACAATATTGCAAATCGGTTTAATACAACTTATGGGGAATTTCACGCTCTTTAAAATTGCTTTTGAGTTTTTTTTGTAACTCCCATTGGTTCACACCAGTAGGAGTCGTCAAAGGACAGTTTTTGAAAAAAATCGTTTTTTTTTTTTAATTTTTTCTAACAAACCGCAAAAAGTAGGGAGAAAAAAGGGCTGAATCATAAAAAAAGTTATCCAACCAATATTTAATGAATTTACAGCCATTTTTATAACTGAAAACGTAAGAAATTGATAATTACCAACTCATAATGTTATTTAGATTGATTTTTTCTATTTATTATCATTATATTTCCCTAAACTAAGAAGTTTTTTAAAATTATTGATTTCTCACTTATAATGAATATGAAAACAACAAATAAATTCATAAAAAAAACAATAAGAAAATTGTAACGTGGATTTTGCAATTTTTCAACATTTCTGTCATATAGCAAAAAAATATAAATGAAGATTATTTAATTTTTTGAAGCGAAATTTGAAATATGTTAGGTACATAACCTTCTGTATATTCCGATTAAAGTTTTGTTTTTTTTATGAATTTATGTGTTGTTTTCATATTCATTATGAGTGAGAAATCATAATAATTTTAAAAAGTTCTTAGTGTAGGGAAATAAAATGATAATAAGTAGAAAAATCAATCTAAATAACATTATGGGTTGGTATTTATCAATTTCTTACGTTTTCAGTTATAAAAATGGCAGTAAATTCATTAAATATTGGTTGGATTACTTTTTTTTATGAATCATCCCTTTTTTCTCACTACTTTTGGCGATTTGCTCGAAAAAATAAAAAAACGATTTTTTTCAAAAACTGTCCTTTGACGACTCCTACTGGTGAACCAATGCGAGTTACAAATAAAAACTCAAAAGCAATTTTAAAGAGCGTGAAATTCCACATAAGGTATATTAAACCGATTTGCAATATTGTCAAAGGTGGGTAAGCATTAGAAATTTGAAAAAAATATATATTTTTACATGCATTTTAAACGGTAAAACTTTAAATTTAAATAGTAAGTACTTAAAATTTATATTAAGAGCTCAAACAATCTCCCAAAATGTCGGGCACTTTCGTGATCATAGAATAAATATAATTTTATTTATATCCAGTATAGTTTTATATCTTTAAGAACAGAATAGAGGGAATTTTCCAAAATTGGTCTAATCGATTGTTAATCTTAAATTAAGAATAAGATTATTTCATGTAAAGTCTTTCTTAACATTTAACAGGCAAGAATAAGATCTGCCTGTTTGAAGGAAGTTTAATATTTAGTTTAATGTTGGTTTTAGCCTTGACATTATTAGCTCAACTGTACTTGATTTTAAGCTAAGAAATAAAATCTTTTTTTAGCTTGCCGGGGCTATAATCGGCAAAGGGGGCGGTAGAATACGCAAAATCCGCCAAGATTCGGGAGCGGGGATTACTATTGATGAACCTCTGCAAGGTTCCAACGACCGCATCATAACCATTTCCGGTATGCCCAACCAGATACAGATGGCGCAATATTTGCTTCAGCAAAGGTGAGTTCTTTTATGCTTGCTATTACTAACTTTTAATTTTTTTGCATTAAACCTCGCACATTCCTAAATTTTAGTTTTTTAATAGGTACATATGTATACATAATTGAATTTTAAATTTATTTTTTTCAGATCAATTATACTTATATAAAAAATAAATAATGTTTTTTGTTATTTAGAATTCAATTATTTATTTTATCTATTATTGTTATTGTGAAATTAAAACATTTAATAAATATTTAATGCTTTAAAGGTAAAAAAAACAAATTGATGAGTTGATTTTATTCCAAAATTTAATTTGTTTTTCGTTTTATATTTAATTAGTTAATTTAAATTCAATACCTAATAGATATTGTAAAATAAATTGTATGTGAATATTTTTTGGTGGTAAAAATTATTCTCTGGAAAAATTGAGCGGCAGAAAAAAACAAAAAAATTGGGAAATGTATAGAAATTTATTTATTCTAAAAAAAATCAAACCTTTAAAAAACACTAGCATTTTACGTATTACGGATACTATGGAAAAATGCATTTTTTTGCCAATTAATTATAAAAAATAAAGTATTTATTTATACATTACATAAAAAAATTAATTTTATCCAAAAAGCCAAAGAACAGGTTTTTTCAAAATTTTTTCGAAAAAAAATTCCAATTTTCCGAATTTTCAGAAATTTATTTTTGCATTTATTCTCAAAAAAAAAAAATGTTTCTAAAAAACTTAAAACATCACTAGCATTTTACGTATTCTGGATATTACGGGAAAAAATGCAAAATTTAATTTTCCTGCAATTTTTTTAATTTTCCGTTTTAGAGGCGCGAAAAAATTGGATTTAAAAAGTTATGAAAAATAAATTAATAATTACATAAAAATGCTTCTTTCATTAAAATTTTTAAAATTTACAAAAAATGCAATTTTTCCCAATTTTTTTGAAAAAATTGGAAAATTTTTCCAAATTTCAGAAATTTATTTTTGCATTTATTCTAAAAAAAAATTGTTCCTAGCCTTTAAAACATCACTAGCATTTTACGTTTTTAAAATTAAATTTTAAAATTTTCCGTTTTAAAGGCTCGGGAAAAAATTGGATTTAAAAAAAATATGAAAAATATTTTTTTTATTTATAAATGCTATTTTTCCAAAAAAAGCAAAGAGGTTTTTCCCAATTTTTTCTAAATAAAATTTCCGTATCATCCGTGGAACAAATTGGAAAATTTTTCCAATTTTCAGAAATTGATTTTTGCATTTATTATCAAAAAAAATTTTTTCTAGCCTTTAAAACATCACTATACTACAGAAAAAATGCAAAATTTAATTTTTCCGCAATTTTTTTAATTTTCCGTTTTAAAAATTGTTTTTTTTCGAAAAAACTCGATTTAAAAAAAGTTATGAAAAATTATTTATTTACGAGTTATAGTTTTATTAAAATTTGCAAAAAAAAACAATTTTTTCGTAAAAAACAATTTTTCAGTTTCTTTACAAACGATATTTACTAGGCAAAATAAAACGTTGTAAATAGAGAAAAAACGGTTGTTTGTTTTTTTCAGATAAAAAACTTTTTTTTTCAAATCGCTAGTAAAGTCAGTCAAAAAATATCCAAAACTAATATTTTAAGAGATTTATTGAAGTCATCAAAATTTTTTAATTTAATCTTTAAACATTTTACAAATTTTAATTGTTCTTGTAGATAAAATAATAAAAAAAAATCTGACATCTGTCAAAAGGTTAACCTAACTTTTTACCAATTTTAAATGTTATTATAGTCGCCTTCTCCCAACTTAAATCCAGATTGGTTCAAATCGCAGTTAATATTGAAATCGGCTTAACAACGTTAATAATAAGTTCATTATTCCCGTCGTCAGGCAGGGAATTTATAATGTTTATCATTATTCACGAAAAAAAAACAATTTTATGCAATATGAGTAGATAAACATTATTTAAATATAAAACCATTAATATTGACATTTTGCTAAACTTTTAAATTTTGATGACTTAATTTCCTATGTACATAAAATGTGAAAAAACCTTACATCTCTAGTTATAAATAAAAGTTTTATTTTCTTTAATTCTACGCTACAAATTTATGTGTTTAAAATTTTGTAAAAAGCGTATACTATATTACTACTACCTTGAGATATTTACCTGATATTTGGTTTGGCTAATTTTTAAACAACTTATTTTATTCTTTACCGAAAAAATTACGGCCAAATTTCCAATAAATATCTCAATACTAATAAATCAAATTTGATTCTTTGTTAATCAATGTTTTTAACTGGTTTTTGGTGTCGTTTTTAACTTGTGTGTGTTATACATTCATGAAGACTACTAACTCCCATCTCATGGTTTGGATTGCCTGTGTACTAACAAATGAATAACGTTGCGTGGAAGACTAGTGATTTTGTTGTTATGCTTTTATTCTAACAAGGAATCACTAATCGTCCCTCAAAGTTGTTTACTTCTTCAGCGAACTTCGTTTAAGGGCTTTAACAAGGTGAAAGATAATAATTTACTATATTGTAAAAATAATAATTTTAAATTATTATTGTATAATAAGTTGTTATTATTAATAACATATGTTGCTTAGTTTGTTTTTTAAAATCAGTAATAATTTTCTGAATAGATTGACCATGTAGATTTTGTATATTTTAATAAATACAAATCTAGGGCGAAAAATACAAAAGGTAGTACCAAAAAATGCGTTTTTTAACACATTACTAAAATATTTTAAGTAAATTAAACTATTTTATACTTTTTAGTCTTAAATAAATAAAAAACAAAATGTCCATGGTCAATTTTTTCCGACTTCTTATTTTTTTCTTTTCAAAAGATTGTCTGTACCATAAGCTTTACATTTAAAGCAATTTTTTAGTTTTGCGCATACAAATGAATATTAATTTTTATTTCAGTGTTCACAACAACTCCGAACGCAATAACTACTAAGGAATTCAACATATTCTGATAAATCCATATATATTTTAGATATACCCAATATTTAAACAATAATAAAACGATTCATTCCAATTTTCTTTATATGGGCATTATACTGTTAAAAAAAGTATATTGTAATTATTACATCACACTTAAAGTATCGCGCGTTTTTATTAGACTTATATACCTATCTTATATTATGTTTAGAAAAATTGACCTCTGTATCAAGGTGCATTAATTTTTATTTCTAGGTAAAAACGTTGTATTTTTTTAAAGGGAGTCCTTTATTCAAAAACGAAATATCTTATTTTTATATTCATATATACCACTTTATTGATGATGAACTGTTCGTATATTCATATAATAGAGCTAACACGAGTGTATAGTACTAACCGTAATTTTTTACGTCGGGAACAATCCAGTACAAATTTATATCTTTGTTGTTCCAAACGCGACTTCAAATATTCTACCAAATATTTTTATAGGCTTAGTTTCTGATATATGTAAGTAAGTGTTATGTATTCAATATGTAATAATATCAATAAAATATTTCAGTAAAAATAAATCGTATTTTATTTCTACCTCATAAATAAGCAAATGGAGAAAAAAGTACAAAATGTGGTAGGTACCAAAATAAAATAATTAAAAACTACACATTGGAGAAATCTCACGAAACGAATTATTTTTTACAATGTTTTAAAAGTCTAAAACCTATCCTCCGTGACTGTTACTCTTTCTAGGTTAACTTATATGTTTTCAAATATCTGAGGTATTAAAAGAATAATTTGTATAACCATTTATGTAGGTGTTACAAAAATTTATTCTATCCTCCGTGAATCTGTTTTTGTTTTAAATTTTATGCAACAGATGGCGCTTTAATCATTTTTAATAAGCGAAAACCTCCGTTTACGACATTATAGGTGCATGTAATTCCTGAAGGTCAGTTAGAATTTATATGCAGATGAAAGTGTTGCTGTTTTATAATTCAAAAGTTTAAGTTCATTAATTTGCTATTTAAAAACCTATCCACCGTGAAGTGTAATATCTCAGTAAGTAGATTTTTTTATAAATATTTTATGCATGTACAATTGCATTTTTTAAAAATATTAAGGTGTCAAAAGATACAATAACTTATTTCAAATATACAAAGGGATATTAAAAAAAACATACGAAATCCTATCCTCCGTGAAGCTATCTTCCGTGAAAAAAATAATCATTTTCACTTGGGGCACATCTCTGTTTAAAAAAACATAACAAATCCTATCCTCCGTGAAGCTATCTTCCGTGAAAAAAATAATCATTTTCACTTGGGGGACATCTCAATATATTCACCCAAATATTAAAATTTTTCAAGTTGGTTAACGTTTTAAATGTAAAACGGATTAATCTTGATTAAATGCATAAGCAAATGGAGAAATATTAATATTATCTAAAAAATTAAATTTTTGTATAAAGCGACATCTATGCGAAAATAAAGTAACCATCCCAATAAATATTTTTGACGTAATTTTCACCACAATCCACACAACAAGGTCTGTTCTTCCTCGTTTCGCGCATACTAAAAATCACGGAGGTAGGCAACCCACTGCAAACAGTTTAAAGGCGGCCATTTTTGTTGTTTACAATCTTTATGCTTTGGATTTGTGCTCTATTTATACAGATTAATAATCGTTTTAAACGTTGTTAGTTTATTGGATTTTATTGACATAAGTTGAGTTTGCTCCTGTGTATTCCTGTTTGGTTTTATTGACGTTACCAGTGTGAAATTCACACTGTGAATCAGTTGAGTGCGCTCCTGTTTGTGTTGATTTTGTCATTGGCAGTTGACTGTACTAGTGTACTTGTTTATAAACACTAATTAGTGCCTATTTTGAAATAAACTCTATAAAAGCCAAAGAAGGGATTGAGGCTGCTGATAATTCAATGGTTAATATGGAAAAACCAAAGTCTCGTAAGTTCCACTACAATGTGTGCAAAACATAATTATTAATGTATATTATTTACTTAGATCGAATTTGTGCTATACATTTTGAGCCAAAATATTTGGTAAGGCATCCACACGAAGTTTTATATGGTTTGTCACCACCTAAAGCTTACCGAGGCCTTACTGAGAAAGAAAAGCCAAAGAATGGATTGAGGCTGCTTATAATTCAATGGTTATAATGGAAAAACCAAAGTCTTGTAAGTTCCACTACAATGTGTGCAAAACATAATTATTAATGTATATTATTTATTTAGATCGAATTTGTGCTATACATTTTGAGCCAAAATATTTGGGAAGACATCCACACAAAGTTTTATATGGTTTGTCACCACCTAAAGCCTACCGAGGCCTTACTGAGAATGCTGTTCCAACTTTGCATTTGCCTGAAAGGTAATATTATATTATTGTTAAGTGAAGAGTCTTCAATTAACAATATTATACCATTTATTTTTTATATCTGTTAACTAATTTTCCAACTATGAAATGTACAGATCCGAAACATTAGAAATGTTTGTAGATCTACCAAATGAAGCAACTTGTGCCAAAAAGGTAATATAAATTATTTGGAATAAAAAACATAATAATATGAATGTTATTTTTAAATTAGCAGTTCTGAACCATTGGATGACCTGCCTAATAATGCCAAATGTTACAGGAAGAGGATAAAACAAAAAATTAAAATATGTCTGCCCTTTACATATTTTTTTTTATTTATTTGGACATTGGACCTTTTTTCAAAGGTAATTTTTAAAATAAAATAAAAAAAAACAAAAATGTACTAATAAATAATTAATCAATTTTACCAAAACTGTGATATATATACAATTCAATACCTTTTAACCAGTGGAAACCAAAGAAAAAGGTGGAAACTATTATAGTGTAGTAAAAATTAAGTTTTAAATATTCGATTTTATATGAAATTGTTATTAGAAAGTAGGTATTGTTATTAAAACGTTTTTTATTAAATTTTCGTTAGTAGTTGACTAGTTAACCCTAATTAGGGATTAAATATGTTACCTAGGTTTTTATTATTATTTTTTTATCAATTTAAATATGCTAAATTGTATTATTTTATAAGCATGAAGAAATATATTTATTTTGTTAAATTATATGTAAAAATTTAAGTGTATTTAAAAAATACTATTTATGTTTAAGTTTATTCATAATTATTTTGATTATTTTTTATTAAAAATATATATTATATTTTTTTGTTTTATTTATATATCTACTTACTAGAAATCCTACCTTCACAATTAATAATTTCCGTACTTTCAAAAATTAATTTACTAAAAAATTATCAATTTGCAATTAAATTATTTTGATTTATATTACTTTATCTTAACTTTTAATTTCTTAAAAAATCATCGACTATGGTCATGTACATCCATTTTTACTTGCTAAAATACTTTCATCATTGATAATTTTATTTAAAGATTTTAATATTGCCAATAATCAATTTTTAAGAAAATGTATTAAAAGTTATAATAATTATTATTAATTATTAAAATAATTATTGATTACCATATTGTAAAATAATGTTTAATTTACACAAGTAATAGTGTACTTGTGTTTATTTTAATTAACACATTTCTGTTTATAAACGTATACGTTAAAACTTGAAACAACTATATATATTTACTTGCTCAAAATACCTTTTTATAAAGATATCTTTAATAATTTATTAATTAAATTCCCCAATTAACATATTTTTGTCAAAGCTTTTGTTTAAAACAAACATTTGCGTATACATTAAAACTTTAAACAACTTTTTATTTTTAAATTAACAGCGGCAAATAAATCAAAGATGGTGGCCATTAAACTGTTCACGTGGTGCGCATAACAGTCCTGATTTTCGTTCGCATTTTATCGAGGAAGAACAGACCTTGTTGTGTGGATTGTGATTTTCACTATTAACATTTCCCGCTATTATTTTAATTAAACAATTATTGATACTTTAAAATGTTAAAATAACTTCAAAATAATAAAAATTCTTATACGGGAAATGTTGCTAACTTTAGCCCGTGACTAAAGCGCCATAAAGCCATAGTGTTTTTAACATTTACACCCTATTTTTTAGTTTTTATAAAAATAATAAACGTACATAATATTGTTAAAAAGTTATATTTTAGTATCACAATGTACAATGTAGTTTCACATTTTAACAAAACATGAGTAGTTACCAAAAAAGGTACAGTATACAATATTAATTAACAAAACTATATATAAATAAATGTAAAACATATAATGCCAACCACAAACTTATAAATATAATAAAAATCTTAAAAATATTTAGATTCATTTCACAGTTTTTTTTTCAACTTTTTTTTGTTAATCCAACCAAGCATAGTTTTTACATATCCACCTTTTTCAACCCTTAATCTTACTTCTACAAGTACTTTAATTTTAAAGTTTCTCTATTAAAACAACGGAAAATTTAGGATTTTTTTTAATTTTCTATAACTTTTAGGCATTTTAAGCTACAACAATACACAAATGTGCGATTTGTTATTGTTACAGTTACAGGCAAAAAGAAAAGAAAACTTTTATAGGATATTAAATTTTCTACAAAAAAGATAATATGCATTGATGCGATAAAATGCGTAGTTTAAAAGATATAAAGCATTTAATAAAAGTTATTGTCAAATATTGTAAACAACACACCAAATGGTTGGAATTACAGGTAAAAAGTAAAAATTCTTTTATATTTATAGGGAATTTACCACAAAAAAGTTATTCATGCTATTTTATCTATTTTGCAAAAGTTCTATAAAAAAATTAATTTTATACCTTAAAGAAGAAAAAAAGGATTTTCTTTGGTGTTAAACAAAATTTATTGCCAGAAAAGTCTCGTAAGTACTAGAAAAATCATAAAAGTACTATAACCAATATGCAAAATATGCTGTTTAAAGTATAGCCAACCTATAAAAGATATTCAAGATCAAAAAATTATTTTTTTTAATAATTCTTCAAACCTCATTCAATTTAAAAAAAGCAATGCATTTTTTTTATTGTAATGTGAATTCATTCATTGGTGAAGGCACTTTAATAACAAATAAACACCCAGTATATAAAAAACAAGGCATATTTTTACCCTTTATAGCTTATTATTTGTGTTATTTAACCTTTTGAAATGACAGAATCATACTTTAAATTTGATACATTTTATTTATTAGAAAATGAAAAGGTAGAAGTTAGATTGTTAAACATATTTTAAAAGTATTATATACAGTTCATTTTTTTTATCTGGACTCGTGTTTTTTTGTTAGTTTGGTGGCTTATGCCAGTTTGACTTGGTATTTTTAGTATTTAAAAATGGTACTTCTGCTAAAGAGTTTAATTAAATATTTGACACTGTCAAATTGACAATAATATTTACTATTGATAATTTACTTGTCAATTATAAATAAAAAGATAATTATGCCAAAATAATAGCAACGAATTCGAATGTAAAAGCCCTTTTGAGGGCAAAACTTCATTTTGATGAAATTATGCCAAATGCCACAATGGAAGAAAAAGTACATTTAACTCCAAGCACCACAAAAGCCAAATTAAATGCATTTTTAACTACGAATTTCGACAACTCAACTTGACAACTGCACAATGTAACCTACAATAATTTATACATAACCAAAATTAGATTTAGTTTGTTTTAATCAATGCGACCAACTTGACAACTGTATTTACCAACCAAAACCCTAAATTTGCAACGTTGCCGCTGTCCAGATAAAAAAAAGAACTTTAAAATTAGTTTTTTGTGTATTTCAATCAAAATAATTAATGGAATAATTTCAACCTTTTAAAAATAAGAATGCAAGAATATTATTGTTTTAAAAGTTTGTTTATAAAAATATATAAATACAAATAATTTAAAAATCCTAAACACCTACTTTACACACCTAAACATATATTGTTTTAATACAAAAGCTTTGACCCTAAAAATCTATGGCATTGCCATTTCATAAAAAATTAATATTTTCCTTATAAAGGGTGATATGTAATTAATGTAATTTATTAGAATGGGTTTTTTAAATTCTTAAAACTAAAAATAATTTATAATAACCTTTATCCTACCTAAAAGTACGCCACTGATCGACTAGGAACTTTAGGCTAATCTGGTTGCCTAATTTAATTTATTATGTCAAAAAAGTTGCCAAATTTTGTTTAAATTTATCCTAATTACAAAAATGACAAAATTAACAATAATTTGGCGTTTTTATTAATTGTTTATTATGTCATTTTTGTAATGAAGGTAGATTCAAACAAAATCTGGCAACTATGGCAGGATCTAGTGCATTTCTTTCAAATTTTAGGTTATGTACTCAAATCGTAAATATCTTAACTAAGGGAAGTGCTTTTGGGTTTATTTACACAAATTTAATGTTATTGAGTTTTTCTTCACCTTATGTCAGTATTTTAAAATATTACATTAATTACATACCACCCTGTATAAATATCACATTTGTATGAAAGAGAAAAAGAATTATCGTCGTATCGTTTTTGTTGCTACGCAAAAATGTGTTAACTACAACAGTAAATAACACAGGTTAACATATTTTTGCTTAGCACAAAAAACGAGATTCGCTTTTACGGTTTTTTAGTGGGGTTATGTTGATATTTTTCGGGGTGTTCCGCAATATAAAACACATAAATTAAAGGCACTGCTACGATTACAACCCCTATACAAATAATTAAAGCAATCCACGATATATCACCATCTGCCCCACTGCATTTAAGTTTTAGTGTTGCAGTTGGTAACTCTTCAATTTGAGGTAATAAATTTACTTCTTCTTCTACATAATCGATTAATTGCTCTTCTTGAACATCGTGATACTTATTCGACTTTAAATTACTGTTAAAAATTATGTTGTTTACCTCCAATTCATTTTCTTCCTTTGGTAATAAACTTTCCAGATTTTTATTAAGCTCTGTGTGAAATTGATCCAAATCAATTAAATTACTTGTAACGATTTCTTCTGTGATTTCACTCGGTGAACTTTTACCACTTACATGCGTTCCTATGGCCATTGTAAACGGCCTATAAGGGACTTTAATTGTCCTTTTCGCAAATATCTCATTTTCTTTTTGTATGCCGTTCAAACGTTTTAAATCTTCAATCTACAATTCACAATATGTTACAAATTGTAACTACTTTTCTTTAATTTCCACCACTTACTGTACAATTATACCTTATCGCCAAGCTTTGCAGAGTATCATTTTCCTCTACTTCTTTTGCAATGCTGGGAATTTCCTTCTTGGGTGTTTTTAATCTCAACAACTCAGTTTCTTCATCACTGTCTTTGTCCACTTTCTTGTATTCCGTAACGTATTTTTTCATCCTAAAATAAATGCAGGAGTAAATTAAGACATTATTAGTAAACACACCTACTTCTGTCGCTGTATCATCATCTCGAAACAATTAAAAACGAAATATTTATTTATAAATTCAGTGAGCTGTCACTTTTCGATGACATTTGCTTGAATTAGGTTAAACGCGGTGTTGTCAGATGCATATTAAATTTCAAATATTTGTACCGATTTAATATAATAATATGCATTGTTTTGGTGACACAATTTTAACATAATATTATATTATAATACAAATAAATGCATCACAAAACCCTGTATTTTTGTGTGCAGCGATACTTTCCAGCATTAAAATGAAGTATGGCAACGTTGTATCAAAGCTGCCAACCAAAATAAGTAAATTTGATAAAGCATTGTAATTTGAAATTGATTTTCTTAATAAAAAAGCTCTATTAGAATAATAGTTGATATTGTTTAGTTTAATATGGAGGGTATGGATACTACCGACTATTTCGAAAGCTATGAAGACCTGGAAGTAAGCGACAAATATCTAACCTAACTTTTTTAATACTTACTAACAAATTATTAGATTCATCAGCTTATGTTGAGTGACGTTGCTAGAAACAAAGCTTACAAAAAAGCAATCGAAGATAATGCCAAAGAAATTAAGGGAAAGACGGTTTTGGACGTAGGAGCTGGAACTGGGATTTTATCGGTTTTTTTCGCTAAGGCGGGCGCCAAAAAAGTTTACGCGGTCGAAGCCAGTAATGTTTACAAAATAGCTGAAGATGTGGTGAAGGAAAATCAACTTTCAAGTGTTATCGAGGTTTATAGCCTAATAAATGATTTGTTGTTTTTATTTTTTGGTTTTGGTAGGTAATTCATGGGAAAGTGGAGGAGATTGATTTGCCAGAAAAAGTTGATATCATTGTTTCGGAATGGATGGGTTTTTATTTGTTACACGAGGCGATGTTAGACTCTGTGATATTTGCCAGGGATAAGTTTTTAAAGGAGGGGGGTTTAATGTTTCCTGAGTCGGCTACTTTGTATTCCGCTGCTTGTAGGTAAAAAAAATGCGAGTAAAATTAAAATCAAGGTAGGTAAACAATTTTTTATTTTAAGTGTACCATCGATGTTCGAATATTGGAATAATGTGGATGGTGTTTCGATGAGATGTTTTGGCGAGAAACTACGGCAGAAAGCATCTCAAAAACCCATAACCGAACAAATTGACCCAGAAAACATTCTCACCGATCCTGAAAATGTTTTGTGGTTAGATCTCAGAGAAGTAACGGCAGAAGACTTAAACAACATTAAAATACAACAACTTGCCGTTGCAAATAAGGAAGGTACTTACCAGGGCATATGCCTGTGGTTTACCTGCAACTTTCCCTCGTACGGTACAGAACCGGTCACACTATCTACAGACCCAGAAGAAGAAGAGACCCACTGGAAACAGACCACGATAGTTTTGCCCACCCAAATAAACGTTGAAAAAGGCACGCCACTGGCGTATGAGTTGGGTTTACAGAGATGCAACGAAAACAACAGAAGATATAAAATTGAGGTTACCATGCTCGACCCGGACGAAATTGAGCACCCCGAGTTCTGTAATTGTTATTTGACTAAATGTATTTTGGTTAGGGCTATGCTGGAAAAATATGAAAAGGATAGTCTGCCTAATTAATAAAAAGAAAAACTCTAAAAACTGTTTTATTTACCCAGGTCAATACACCCTTTAATATAACTCCCCATTTCATATAATTTAATTTTGTTTGACATATGTCTACACCTAAAATTAATTTGGCGTTTTGGGAATGCGGCAGAAAGTGGCAACTGCAGTAGTTCAAATGCACAATAGGTATTTATGCGTAATTTATCTACGTCAACTTTGGCGCCAATATTCGGAGAATCGTATTTTGTTCTTCTATCTGTACCACATATTTAGAGAACTCTCTAAATATGTGATCTGTACACATACAATTATTTGTTGTGTTTTTGGGTGTATTTCGAGAGGAAATCCTGGGTTGAGTTTTTATCGGTTTTCCAATAAACAGTGTTAATCGGAATGAAGAAATAAATTTCATACAGTCCGTGTAAGTATAATACACATTTTAGTAATGATTAACGTGAAAAGTGTAAACATTTCAATTCAGTAATAATCGTCAAACAAATAAGTCGTCTAAATTACCATTATATTATGTATTATATAGAATATTATGTTGCCATAAATTCGTAGGTATATTTTGTTGTTTAAAATGCAGTTGTCGGCGTTTTTTAGAGAACTCAAACATAAAAATGGTTGATTTTAAGGTTATGTTTGTGCAAAAATTTCTTTTTACTAATTTCTTAAAAATGTCCAAACTTAAATATAAATTATATTAGGTAAAGTTATCATTAGTTAATTCTGCACCAACAAATGTACTTACCGAATTGGATCCTTTGGCAAAACATGAAAATGCAACGATTTAGTTTTTGAATTTTATTTACAATTAAAAACACAATAATTCACCATGATCCTTTAGATAAAATACACACACTAACGTAGCTATATAAGCATTTAAGCGTTGAGTTTCTTAATCAATGATATAAAGAATAATCAATCGAAATCCAGTACTAAACCAGTTTTTTAGTTTTTTCCTTGCAACGTAAAACACAAATAACGTGTGCAATTGAAAAAAAAATTGATTTAATTGTTTTGTTGGTTAATTAAAAATAGCATTGTTAATTTCTTTGCTTATGCAAAATTATGTGGTAAATACGAGATAAAGGTAGTATGAAACATAATATGTATAGTAGATACAGCAAGGCAGCGCGTGGTTTAAGAAGCAAGGCCCTTTTCTGAACAGAAAATGAAGACATCAACAAGCCGTTAGACAGGTGCTTGTCCCCGGGGCAATACCAGTTTTGCTCTCATAATTTCATTCTCAGAGTCTGTCCTTACTTTAATGCTGCCCTCCCTTTCTTTCTATCAATATATCAGTAGTAGTACATTATCAAAATGGATCGATTTTACTATTTTTACAATACAACATTAATGTTTTCAGGTTGCATTTTTACTTTACCAAATTTATATGAGTTTATAATGACATTAAATAAACAAGTTCTGCGCAAGCAGAATTTAAATTAAAGTTTGCGAAAAAAAGATAACCGAAACATCGAACATGGAACTGACGACACGGTACTGATGAATGGGATACAAATTTGATATTATAATTCGGAATTAAGTATTTTACTGATATTTTTTATTAGTGGATGCTACTTATCAACAAATCACATATAGCCTTATATAAATTACAATGAAATATATATACGTAAGAAAATAACTACTCACACAGTACTGAAATTTTGACTGGAACTATACGTGCATTCACCACAACTTCGCCGCTTGCATTGATTTCAAGAAGACTGTCGTGCAAAGGGCGGGCTCTGTAGGTAATTTTTTACCAACACTTGAGTTAAAACGAGGACTTGACGTTTAAACTTTAATATTTCGCGGGAATTTCGAATTTTAACATTGGACACAGAACTGACGGGTAAAAGTGAGTACAAAGATTATCAATTTTTTAAAAATTGCTATTATTCGAATCTATGATAAAATATGAAAAATACATTATTTAATGTTTTATGGTTTGTAGTGAAATTGAAAAATTTAAGATAAATTGAATATATTTTAAAATAAAATCACTCAAATATTTGATTCAGGAGTTGTGACACGCCAAGGTAATGATGTTTTGAATATTTATTATATTTTTCTACAAACGTGCTTTTGAAAAAATACATTAAAATAGGGTGGACAAGTTAAAAAACCTGGATCTTTTGTAATATACTAAAATATTTACAAAAAATATTAAAATACCTACTCTATTGACTGATTACATCAAGTTGTCCAACTTTTGTAGAATCACCCATATAGTAAAACCTTATATTTTTAGTAGGTACCTAACAAATTCTATATTTTTAATCGTATCAAATCCCAGAAATAATTGTTGCGTAATAATATAAATTTACCATGAAGCTTTTTCGGTGTTGGTGGTCCAAATCGTAGTCGGTTTATTATAATTTCATAAGAATGCAAAGTTTAATGTCTTCATTACTCATCATCCAGTCAGTTGAAGCATCAATGCGGTTTGAGGGTTTTTAAACTTTTTTTAATTTTTTAAATTAATTTCGAGAATTAATGCGACGAAATTAAATATTTTTATCTAAATTACAATAAAGTGTAGGATGAATAATAGGTGGGATTTTATATAAGATTACTTACAGAAATAATGGGTAGTGATAAACATAACAACTTTACATCAAATAACATAAATTGTTAAATATTTTTTAAAGATAAATTGCTGTTTTAGGTAATTTTTTTTATTTCGTTTTTGTAAATATCATATAATTCATATACTTCTTTCTCGGATTCTCATCCCTTTTCTGGATTCTGAAGGTAACTACCAATTCCTTGGTCTGACTTCTGAAATAGTTTGTTGTAAATATCATTAAGTTTGGTATCTCTAGTTTGTGAAGCATTTATAATGTTTAGGCCGGAACAGGATGATTTAAATATATCTAATATTTTTTCGGGTGGTATGTTAAAAGTATTTTCCGAATTTATTAATTTTGTTGCCATTAGTTTTTTATGTTCTCTATCATGCACTGTATTTAAATCACTGTTATTCTGCAAGATGTCCTGTGACGAAGAAATCACTCTCTAAAAAGAATTATTCAAAAATGTCATAGCGAAAAAGCAGCCACTAATAATTCTCGTCAACAGCAATTTGTATCCAGGACATTTAGCAGTCAATTCCTGTGAAATATTATTCGCTGAAAACGAAAATGTCGTCAAAAGTTATAAAAGTAGAACAGTTTTTGAAATATAATCAATTTTACATATAATATGGAATTGACTTTATCTCAAAAACTGCTTAACCTTTATAGTTTTTGACGGTCTTTTCGGATTCAGGGGACAATTTTACATAAGAATTGGCTGGTAAATGTGCGGGATACAAATAGAGTATGATATTGGACATATGTCCAATAATGGAAATTTACATTTTTCACCAACCAGTAATTGGACACTGGCCATTTTAATGTTTGTTTTCAGAATTAAAATTAAAACGCATTAAAGTGACAATGTTTAAAGCATGAGGAACTCATTTATACCACACACTGATCTGTACACTTTTTAGAAATATTTTTTATTTTAATTTAAACAGAGCCCTGCTCTTAATATTATATTACCTATAAAAACTTTATTATTGGCCATACTATAAACGAGGTTAATGACGAAATTTCTCCGGTACTTGATAATAAATGCAGTGTGTACTGTACAGTGTAAACACCTCTAGGCATATATTATATTTAAACGTATTTTACGATTACAAACCTGATTAATTCGCTTTAATTTTTTAGTAAACACTAATTATATTTCTTTGATCATGCCGAACAAACGAGAAAATGTCTGAATAATTTGTCAATTAAATTTTAATCAAACATTTTATTTATGTCACTGCTCTGGAACTCATTAAAATTATAACATGTTAAGCTTTATAAACTCTGCAACGGTCTGTTACAAACCTACTTTGCCTTTATAGTAATTGAATATACAATATTCTTTGAGTTTTACATTTGTATAGAATACGTAATGTTATATGGGCATACACCCACCCATTTTTTGTTTGTTGACCACCTAGGTATATTTTATGAAAATTAATAAATTTAATTTAAGTCAACTTTTTACGGTTAACCAAAACGGTTTTATAACGGTATATAGATATCTATAGATACGAAAAATGATTAAATTTGGGGGATGGTTTATTTCGTTATTTTACCTACATAATAACCTTTTTGATCTACTAAGAGAATAACGTAATAAAAATAATATGAATACCACAAATTTACGTAAAAATAACGCTATAATTACCAACTGTTTGCTCTGTCTTTCTAAAACATTGACATTCGTAATTTCTTTGTTCTTTTAATTTATATTTTATAAAATAGGCACGATACATCTTAAAAATTATATGCCCTCTAAATATTTTACGGTTTTAAGAAAAATTATTGCTTGGGTAAAATTTCAACAAAAACTAAAACATACAAAATTTTATAATATCTTTTAAAAATCATTTAGTTTTAATCATTATGAAAAAATACACTCACAGACAAAATAATCGATCCACACAAATTTTCGATGAGTTTCAATCGCAAATAACTTTTTTATTTGATGTCGGATTTAAACGAATATTAAAAAATATTGTAGATAAAATAATGGACAATCGCTCACATTTAAAAAAAATACTAAAAAATAGACGTACGTTTATAATATACAGGTTTAAACAAAAATATGTTTTTTACCATAAGTTTAAGACACTCTGTAGAGTGGCAAGTCACATCTATTCTTAACAGTTTTGTTTTTGGTTCACCTCGATATATTTATTTTTGTGGAAAATATGCAATTTCCAATATTTTTCTGTATGAAGAACTAAGGTTGCTATGGTCCATCCATAGGCTATGGAGAATGACAGTGACAGTTTTGTTGAATCATCCCATACTTGGACATGTCATACACGGCTTTCAAAAGCTATCAAATTGTTTTTTGCAAATTAATGTTTAAATTTTGAGGTGTCTTCTTACTTTATAAAATGGATATGTCTCCGACTGATGTTGCCAGAGCAATTAATTTAATCCAGGATGGACGGTCACAGTATTACTTGG